GAGAGAGAGAGAGAGAGAGAGAGAGAGAGAGAGAGAGAGAGAGAGAGAGAGAAGTGGGAGAGAGAGAAACAGAGAGAAAAGCAGCAGATCGGACAGGGGAAAGTCGGGATCTGAGTCGGGATCTGATTTTCAGCAGTTGGTACCACCGAATTCCAAACTTTTCCAATTGTATATTATTTTTCTTTTATCTGAGTGGAACTTCGAATTTGCACTGTTCAAGGTTCATGGCCATAATCTCAAGCTCGCGTGAGCTTTATCTGATTGCTCTCAACTTCTCAAGTGCATGTTGCTTTGTGAGTGAAATAGTGTCAGGATCTTTGCAAACAGATCAATTCCCATTAAGCTTCAACCGCACCCACCTTCCTGCTCCTCCCCGCGTGGAACCCCCCCGCTTCCTTCCTTTTCCGCTTCCCCCCCTCGCCCCCCCCCCAAAAAAAAAATCCATCAATGCTGCAGAAAAGTGTCAGATATGTTTCCATGGGCAAGGTGTTCTCCCTTATGTGGCCCCCTCCATTAGAATCTGTTGCCTCGTTAACCAAAAAACTCCCTCAGGTGTTTTCATAATGGCGACTTTGGCAAGTGTTTCTCGGACTTTCTCCCTCATTTGAATAGGCACCCAAGTCTTTAAACCGCCAGTACACGGCCCCAGCCTTGCTGAAAAAGAAACTCATACCCTACGAAAAACTTGGAGGCTCAGCCTACCGGACCACAATGGCTGGCGGCACCAGCCAAAAAAGAGAAAAAGTGCGCTGCTCGCGATTGGGAAGACCTTGGCAAGCAGCAAGGGACCCGCGGGCCCGGCTGTACCGGGGTGGTTTAATAAAGTTCAATTGTGATTACTTTTGTGGGGGCTACATTGTCTCCTTTTTTGCAGCAACTGCAGGAACTGTTACAGAAGTAGCAAAATGATTTAAATTTTAAAAAGGGTGGTTCACCTTTATTCTTATTCTACTTCCCAATCTGGAGGTAGGGGATAAACAATAGAAAGTTGGAGAAACTAGGAAAAAATATTGATGTGGCAACAGCCGCAACACTCACCGTGACGTAGTCCAGAAAACTGTGGTACGGCTCAATAGTGTAGCGATCCTGCATGAAGTTTGTGCACGGAAAACGAAAACAGTGCATCAAGAGCAATACTTTCAAGTTCCAACTAACGACTTAAATAAAGTTTAATTATGATGTAATGATTCTAATGAACCCAAACTCACAACAAGCTTTCAACATCCGAATTGGTCCATGTCGTTTCACACACACAATGTACTCGCAAGAAGCTTGATCCATGCAGTTTCACACACACAATGTAAGTCTCGAAAGTGAGTAGACGAAGAGGAACGAGCAACACAAAGTCACTTCACGCTAATGGATGTTCACACGAGCGAGAGCACGCTCTTCCTTAAAAGTGAGTAACCCTAGAAAAGGACGCTCGGCCCAGTTTCCATCCAGCCCGTGCTGGTCCCTACCAATAGACTGGTCACTGGAGCGACCAGCAATAGGCCTGCTAGAAGGGGATGGCACGGGGTGCTCATGTCACACCCCCTCTAGCAGACCGAGGCTGGACTTCATAAATAAATAAATAAATAAAAAAGGTAGAGAAGGAATGGAGAGGATGAGAAATCATCGTATACAATTGAACGTCTCTTCCAGTCTCCGATCAATTTCAGGACCTGTCTCCCACCAGTGTCAGTAGCTCAGCATGTATGTTCCCACCCACATCACTGATGAAACCTCTCTGCAGCAATCTCCACAGGCAGTCCCAACTTCCAGCACGACCGCGCAGCTATGGTGCTTATCACCACCCGTCTGGAGGAGCAAGCCACACTGTCTCATCCTCACCGGCAACAACACGCAGATCTTAATCATCCGCAACCTCGCTCTCTCCCTCCACTACAAGCTGAATAAACGATGATGAATGAGATAAATCAGATACGACACACTTACCACATGCAAACGTCCAGAGGCCCCCCCTCGACTGGCTGGATGCATAAGCACAATTGGCTCTCTTCTTTCAAATTTATCCTGCACGACGTGCACGTGAAAACAATAATCAGAGTCAAGATCCTTTCTGTCTGCCAGAAAAAAACAAATGGTTGAGAAAAACAAAATGAGCCTAATAGCTTAGTCATAGGCTATAACATTATAATTCACAAAAGAGGATCATTGAAAAAAAAAAGAAAAGAAAAAAAAGAGTTGAATCAACTTGAATGCAATGACGTGTGTGATGACCTGCAAAATCACAGACTGAGAACTCTGCTGTTTTTTCTGAGTTTTGCCGATGAGAATGTGTGCTTGGCTGCGATTCCCGCTTTCTGCCGAGATTTCTAAGTCTGTGTGTCTGCGTGCTTGCTGATTTCCCGTGTGCTTGCCTGAGTGCATGACATGATTGCTTGGGTGTGTGTGACCTGCCTGGGAACTTGTATGTTTGGAAGGCCCTCAGACCTGGAACTTACTTGTGGCCGTGCAAGTGGGTTGCAGCGGGGTGTAGCGGTAGGCTACGCCCACATAGTTGAAAACACTAAAGCAGCGCACAGGTTAGGCCCGCGGAGGTTAGGCCCGCGGAGGTTAGGCCTGCGTAGCTAGGAAAATACTCGAGTATCGGGTAGGTAGGCAGAAGACAACAAAATCTTACTACCGTTAGAGACCGAGTGAATTTTACGAGTCCGGTAGGCCCAGGTCTAGGGGTACCAGTCCACTGCTCTGAGTCTAGGGCCTGGAGCGGATGATATCAGACCTGCAATGATGTCTCCCTCCGAAAGGAGGAAGGTACCGGATGCTTGGAAGGCCGAGAGGCCAGCACCGTCCAAGAAGCAAGATGCCAGTATGTCTTGGGAGAGCACTTGTTGCTCTCCCTCATTTTGCGGTGTGCAAGTTTGGTATCCTGCTGCTGGAGCGAGCGCTTGCCATGTCCAGCACTGCGGAGGAGGAAGGAGACCGGGCGCTTCAGCCTTGGCTATGGCGGAGCAGACCTGGTAGGAGGAGGAGAAAGAAAGTGGGCTGGAAGGAGAGAGTGATGGGGTACGTACCTGGCTATTCTGCAATCATACTCGGCTTATTCACACTTCATCATGCTTGCAAACAGCGATACAGCAAACTGGCGACATGCGCCCACACAGTACTCAAAGATATCGTAACCAGATATGAGTTCTCTTCCAACTGGCTATGGCGACTGT